AGAGCCCCTCTCGGGCCGCCCTGCAGCCGCTTTCCTCGCCCACAAAGCCTTCGTGGTGCTTGGTGCCCATACAGGCCAGACTGACCCTCCCCGCGAGACCCCGCTGCGAGACCGCCGCTCGCACGCCCGGGCCCACCTGCTCAGCCAGTTGGTGCTTGTGCTCCGCCGAGGTCTTCTCCAGCTCGGCGATCCTCGTCTGCTGCTGCTGCACTACGGACCGCAGATGCTTGATGCAGTTGTGGTTTGGCAGCTCATCTTTGGGCATCTCCAAGCTGCAGAGCATCACAGGAAAAGGTGGAGGCCCCGCATTAGGGAACATCACAGAGAAGAGCACTCGGCATCAGCACGCGAGCACCGCGACCTCCGACGGGCGCAGGAAGGCCTCTGCCCCGCCAAGTGTCTGCGGGAGGGCTGCGGGAACAAACCACCTCCAAGTCAGCAGGCAATGAGGAGCTTCCTCTTCCGGAGCCATCAGGGCTCAGCACCAGGTAGCCCACGGGCCTGATCCAGCCTCCGACAGTCCCCAGGCCAACAGCCAGTCACCGTGGCTGCTTACAGCACGCCAGTGGGAAGGGCATCGGCACCAAGCGCTCAAGTGCCAAGGCCAGACCACCACCCTCTGCTCCCGGCAGCACATAGGAGGGAGCAGGACTCATGCTGCAACTTGTCCCAGGGGGCTGGAATGGCTCTGGGTGGATTCACGAAGGCTCCAGCGCCCCACTTCTAGCAGCCAACTGACACCCAAGCCCCAGCAACGAGCTAAGGAGCCAGGGGCTTTGAACCGAGTTTAAGAAGAAATGGGTTTGACTCCAGCTCCTTCACAACCCTTTCTGCAGCACCACGGCCTTCACAGCCCTGCGATCCCCGGAGCTCCGCACCCAGGGGCAATGGGGTGCCAGGCTCCGAACCCTGGGCTCCTTCCCCGAGCCTGTAGCCCCCGCTCTGCCCGCCCTCCGTGGCAGAGCCGCCACGGTCATCCTCACCCGCAGCCCTGCTCGCAAGTCACCGGGCGCTTGGGATTGTGCTCGCAGTCGTTGAGGTGAGACATCAGGTTGTCCAGGCGCACAACTGCCGTACAGCCGAAAACAGCGTTGTCGCAAGTGATCTGCAGCTTCGAGAGCATATTACGCATGATCCGCGGGACGGGGCGGAGGTGGGCGACCGTCACAACGCTGCGGTCCACGGGGCACGTCTGCTGCTGGGAGAACCACTGGGTGATGCAGGCATTGCAGAAGGCGTGCTCGCAGTGGGGAGCCTGCAGGGGGGCAGAGCACAGCCGCGCGTTACTCAGGCCCGGTGGGAAGCGTTTGCTGGCTCGCGTGTGGAGGACGGTCTCGGCCCGGGAAAGGCTCCCGGTGCTCGAGAGGAGCAGAGCCACACACGGCACCTTCACCGCTGCCACGCAGTCCCCCCTCCGGCTCTAATTCGGGTGCCCAGCCCCACCAAGGCACTCGCTTGCCCCCGACACGTGGTGACTTGCGAACCGCCCGGCTCCCTGGGACAGGGTGCGGACCCTGCGGGTACTGCCGCCTCCCGGACGGGCTGAGGGGGCAAGACAGAGCGGGATGCCAAATTTAACCATTTTTCCAGGGCAGATCAGAACATTACTTCACTGTATTTACACAGCTGGGCTCTGCTGCTGCTCTCAGACTGCAGTTGAAAGAGTATTCAGAGTAGGGACAGGGACTGGACAGACGCCAGCTCTCTGGACAACATGGAGCTTTCCTCCACAGAGCCGAAACCCAGCGTTGCAGGAGGGTCCGGCGCGTTCAGGGCGAAGCCCCATTTCCAAGCTGCTCCCCCAGCGCACGGTGCCTTGCAGGCTGCCTCGCACCGGCTGACGCAGGCAAACGGCGAGCGCAGGACGTCCGCTGAATTGGGACTCCCCTGGGCAAGCTGCAGGACCATCTGGGGAGCTTCAGTGCAGCCCCTGTGGCAACGCAGCTGGAGCCGAGCAGCCCAGCACCACGGAGCCGGGGCCAGGCGAGGCAGCACATGCTGGGCGCCGTCGCCCCTCAAAGCCCCTGCCCCCCCCCACTGCAGTGGAGGGACTGGGGTACCCCAGGGTCACCAATGCAGACTGGGGATGCGACAGAAACCACAGCAGTTTCACTGGCTAATGCACACAGAGGGTCACTCCATGCCCGTGACACAGGAACAGGCCCCAGAGACACCGAAATCCTGGGGCTGGACGCAGCCCTGAGCCCCCCGAGATGTCAAGGGAGGTGGCCCTGCCTGGGCCAGGCAGAGGGACCTCGCTGCAGGGAGGAACAAGGACAGGGGCCTCAGGAATGTGGTCCCTTCAAACCAAGGCTCAAGCCGAGCTGCAGCTCCCGTCACTGCAGCACTGGCAGAACGGGAGGGCTGGGATCCAAGAGACAGGCTGCTAAACACGCCCGAGAAAAAAAAGCCTGGGAACAGGGGAGTTGGTGATATCACGTTCCCAGGAGATTTAAATAAACCTCCGTAAGAAAGCTGCGACTTTCCCTCTCTTCTGGGTGAGGGCCTGTGATCGTGTTCACATTTGACAGACTTTAAAACCAAAGCTTGCTGGATGTAACAGATCAGTGCACGGTTTTAAGCACAGAGTGCAGCTCAACGCACCCCTGGCCCGCTAGCACAGGGTGGGCTACAGCCCCCAGCCCGGCGGGCAGTGTGCCAGCACAGCCCAGGGCACAGCTTTTGTGCTGCAGCTCATTATTAAGCAATGAAACTGCAATAATTATGCACACTTTTGAGATGAGCTCAGTTTCATTTTAAGCCCTTTTATTTCAGATGGAGCTGGATTTAGGCAGAGGCACTGAGCTGCCCAGCACACGGCCGCAGCTCAGCCCACGGAGGAAGCCTCCCGCAGCATCCAGACCCTGCAGCGAGAGCAGGCAGTGCTTCCACCCTGCGCTGGAAGGGCCCAGCGAGCCGAGCTCACAGGAAAGCCCCAGCCACCAGCCTTTCCGCTGTGCAGTGAGAAGGGCAAGGCACGGAAGCAGCAGCAGCTTCCCGTGCACACCCTCCTGCCCCAAGCGGCTGCATGAGCCGGAGGATCCGGCCGGCAACGCGGCTGTGCTGGGCCCAGCAGGGCAGGGTGCTGGCACCAGCTCTGTCCGTCCTCTGAGCCGCATCTGGGGGCAGGAGAGGAGCAGAGCACCCAGCCAGGCTCCCGACAGCAAGGCAAACAGATCAGCTCTGCAGCGCGGAGGAAGCAGTGAGCGTCAGCCAAGCGTGAAGCCAGAAGCAAGGGACAGATCTTAGCATGGCTGCCGCCATCTCTGCCTTGCGACAGCATCACTGGCAGGCAGCTGAGCTTTGGTACCAAGAGGCAAGAAGGGAGTAAGGAACGAAAGGGTGAGGGAAACCTGTCCAGCACAGGCTTACCCCTTCCTCCCACCTCCTCGCTGACCCCAGGACATCCCCCAGGCCCAGAACTCCAGTTCTTTTCCAGCAGAACTCACACCAGCGCAGACTTTCACCCCCGGTGCTGCTCCCTTACCCATGCTGTTGCCTTAAGCCAGCAGTAGGAAAGTCAAGAATCCACTGAGCTCACCTAACGCACACGCTGTGCGTGGTGCCCACCATCTGATCAAGACATCTAGAAGTCTGGAGCTGCCATCGGGGGATTTCAGTAGCCACAGTCATTGCTCAGATGGAAACCTACCTGAACCGGCTCCTCCAGGACCCCGCTGCAGATGGGGCATATAAGGTCTTCATCAACATCCCCCTGAAAACGTGCTACATCATACCCCATCGCTCATCACCGACACCAGAACCCTGCGGAGCGAAAAAGCAGAGTGGTCAGGAGCAGTCACGCATCCCAGGACACCTGGACAGAGCAGGTCCCGGCCCTCACAACGTCCCGGCCCCAGATTTCTGCCCTCTCCTCCCACTCCTGGGGCTGGGGCAG